TGTTTCAAATGAAAATCGTAAACAAGATCAATTACAAGCCGATGAACTAAACATTCGAAAAACTTTTGAAACTTATATTGATCATGTTTCTATACTTTTAGTTGATCATAAATTTAATCGAAGTAATCCTGAACATTTGTTATACCTTCGTGTAAAAACTTTAACTGCTCTTCGTCATGTCGATGTCAATCGAAAGCGAGATATCATTTTATTTCTTCATGAAAGTCGATTGATACGAAGTGATATACCTGATACTGAACGACTTAATTTGATTAGTGCTGATCTGCAAAATGTTCAATTTCTTGGATCTCCAGATACACCATATCAACTCGACTATATCTATTTACCTGGTATCTATGCACCCAATATTGTTTTCAGTTGGTGTTCATTGAAATATGCTGTTTTTGATCATGCTTCAATGTCAAATGTTCAAATTCTCAATTCAACTATTTCATATAGTAGTTTTTATCAAATTAATGCACCTAATGCCATCATAGGTGATATTATTTTTCATCGGAACAATTTCAGCAATGCAATACTTATTGGAACACACTTTGCCGGTATTATCGGTTGGAAAGAAGGAGTTTTTTTGACTAATGCTGATCTGTTTGTTAGTTACACTTTTGAAGAATCAGCACTCAATTTCCATAATTATGATATCAATTCACTTAATTTTCAAAACTTACGTTTTCCCGATGGATCATTTCGATCAATTGATTCGTCGAATCTCATTGATGATGGCGGAGCAGAAAAAGGAGTAGGTTTCATTTTATATTTTTGACTAATTTTTCTTTGTCTCTTATGCATAGTGTCAATCAAATGTTAGTCTAGAAATATGGTTGTCAAGAAATAATTTGACACGAATGCAGATGTCTTCTTATAACATAACCAATTTGACTATAATAGAATCTGCAAACAATGGTGATTGTGCTTTTTTTGCTCATGCTCCAGGTGAATCATCATTAATTCAGCTAATTGACGTACAACGCTTTTCTGTATTGATTCGTAGTGAACAGGCTGCATGCAATATATCTGCATATATAGGTTGTGTTGAAAAAGGATGGAGTAATATAAGTATTCATATATCGTATCTACAAGATAATAATATACAAATTAATCAACATGAAAGTAAAATATTATTGATGTTGATATTTGACTATTTTATTTTATTTTATTTTATCTTCATATTGTAGTTTTTTCAACGACGTTATTGCCGAAAAAAGTATATTTTCAAACAAAGGCTATTCCAAAACAAACTCGAATGCTTGAAATTCAACTCATTTCTAATGTGACGGGTCCACTCTCCTTTTGTCTTATCGATGACATCCAGTTGAACATTTTTCATACATCAAAATAATACTTGATATCAACACAAATTCTTTTTCTTCTTGTACATATACGACGTAATCAGAACTCAAATATAAATATTGACATGATCACATAAATAATTGTTCTAAATTAAATATAAAAGTTTTTGTTGTACTTCAGATCAAATATCGCAAATAAATCAGTAGTGACATGAAAGTCGATGTGATTTTTTTTCTTTGTCTTCGGTCAGAAGGTTACATGTAATATATCATCTATATGCTCAAATTTCGCTTCAACCATTCATTACACAGAATAATTTTTCTCTTGATTATTGTTGGTTGATTTTCTCGTAGCAGTCAACGCAACGTCTTCAGACTCTTCTTGTTTCTGTAGTCTTGAGGGTATAGGTATCACTATTATATACGTCACACACCCAAACCCACACCGATACTCACATCCACCCACACGCACACCCTCTAGGCAACACTGAACCAAACACAAAAAAAGACTAAGGCTCATGAATAGAGTGCATATTTTATCTACGTCAAGATAAAAACTAAATATTTTAAAAACAAATGTAATTTTAAGTAATGGTGGCTCGCCGTTCCAATTATTAGAAAGATATCTTTAAGCCACAATTATTCTGAAGCATTGTCCTATGATTTTTTTTACAGCGTCAGAGATTCGATTATTTGTGAGGTTCAGTTCGGTGAGTGTCTGTGTTAGAAAACGAGTGAATGATAAGATGAGATACTTTAGGTAATATTACATTGTTTGGTTGCAAAGCCTCAGCCAGGTGTCGTGCTCCTTCATCATCGATATGATTTTCTACGAGGACCAGTGTGGTGAGCGTCTGCGTGAAATAATGAGTGACTGATAAGATAACATGCTTCAGGTAATGTTACCTTGTTTTTTTGTAGAGCATTAACCAGATCTACTGCTCCTTGATTACCTATGTAATTCACTTCGAGATTCAGCGTCTTCAGTGTCTGTGAGACATAAGGAGTGAATTTCAATCTGTGAAAATTGCGCTAATATTACATTGTTTTGTCGTAGAGAATTAGCTAGCTGCTGTGCTCCTTGATCACCGATTCGATTTGAGCCGAGGTTTAGTGCCGTGAGTGTCTGTGGAAAAAAATCAGTTAGTATGTAGACGAGAAGATTGAAGCAATGTTACATGTAGTGCATTGGCCAGATGTTTTGCGCCTTCATCAGTGATTCGATTGTCAAAGAGGATCAGTGTACGGAGCGTCTATGTGGAATAACGAGTGAATTGCATGATGAGATGATTGAGGTAATATTACTTTGAATCGTTTCAGTGCATTAGCCAAATCTTCTGCTCCTTCATCACCAATTTTACTACGCTGGAGGGTGGGTGTGGTGAGTGCCTATATGAAATAACAAGTGATTGATAAGATGAGATAGTTCAGATAATGTTACATTGTTTTGTTGCAGAGCATTAGCAAGGTGTTGTGCACCTTCATCAGTGATTTCATTGTCATAGAGATTCAGTACTTTTAGCGTCTATGTCAAAATTATAAGTGAATTCACACATGAGACGGTTAAGGTAATATTACTCTGTTTTCTTGTAGAGCATTAGCTAGATGTTCTACTCCTTGATTGCCAATTTTAATGCGTTGAAGTTGCAGTGTGGTGAGTGTCTGTGTCAGATAATAAAAGCAAGATAATATGAGAAGGTTCAGGTAATGTTACATGATTTTGCCGTAAAGTATTAGCCAGATATCGTACTCGTACTTCAACACTTCGATTGTCTCGGGCCTGCGATGTGGTGAGTGTCTATATTCAATAATGAGTGAATGGTAAGATAAGATGGTTTATATAATGTTACATTGCTTTGTTGGAGACCACGAGTCAGATGTTGTGCTGCTCCATCACCCATTAGATTGTCTACCAGGTTGAGTGTGGTGAGTGTCTGTGTGAAATAAAGAGCGACTGATAAGATAACATGCTTTTCGTAATGTTACTTTGTTTTGTTGTAATAGAATAGCCAGATTTTGTGCATCTCGTTCACTAATTTGATTCCAGTCAAGCGTCAGTGTGGTGAGTGTCTGTATGAAATAGTGAGTGACTGATAACATGGGACGGTTGAAGTAATATTACAGTGGTATGTCGTAGAGCATCAGCCAGATATCGTATTCGTGGTTCAACGGTTGTATTGTCTCGGAATATCAGTGTAGTGATTGTCTGTGTAAAATAATGAGTGAGTGATAGGATGAGAGTGTTGAAGTATTGTTACACTGTTATGTCGTAAAGCATTAGCCATATATCTTGCTCCTTGCCCACCGATCAGATTCCAGGCAAGGTTCAATGTAGTAAGTGTCTACGTGAGATAATAAGTGAACGCCATAATGAGATGATTTAAATAATGTTACATTATTTTGCTGTAGTGCATTAGCCAGATGTTCTGCTCCTTGATCGCTGATATAATTGGCTGCCAGGTTTAGCGTGGTGAGTGTCTGTGTGATACAATAAGTGAGTGAAAAGATGAGAGGGTTGAGATTATGTTACATTGTTTTCTTGTAGTGTATTAGCCAGATGTTTTGCTCCTTGATCAAAGATTTCATTGCATTCGAGGTTTAGCGTCGTGAGTGTCTGTGTAAAATAATCGGTGAAGGAGAAGATGCGATGGTTCAGGTAATGTTACTTTGTTTTGTTGTAGTGCATTAGCAAGATGTTCTGCTCCTTGATCACCGATCTGATTGCAGTCGAGGCTCAGTGTGGTGAGTGTCTGTGTGAGATAATGTGTGAATGATAAGATGAGATGGTTCAGATAATGTTACATTGTTACGTCGTAGAGCATTAGCGAGATGTTGTGCTCCTTGTTCACCGATTTGGTTCCAGTTGACGTTCAGTGCGGTGAGTGTCTATGTAAAATAATGAGGGAATAATAAGATGAAATGGTGTAGGTAATGTTACATTGTTTTGTTGTAACAGAATAGCCAGATGTTCTGCTCCTTGATCACCAATTTCACTGCGTTGGAGGGTCAGTGTAGTGAGTGTCTGTGTGCGATAATGTATGAATGATAAGATGAGATGGTTTAGATGATGTTACCTTATTTTGCTGTAGTTCATTAGCCAAATGTTTTGCTCCCTTATCACTAATTTTACTACGCTGGATGGTCAGTGTGGTCAGTGTCTATATGAAATAACAAGTGAATGATAAGATGAGAGGGTTGAGATTATGTTACTTTGTTTTGTTGTAGAGCATTAGCAAGATGTTGTGCTCCTTGATCACCGATCTGATTGCAGTCGAGGCTCAATGTGGTGAGTGTCTGTGTGAAATAATGTGTGAATGATAAGATGAGATGGTCTATGTAATGTTACATTGTTTTGTTGTAGGCCATCAGCCAAATGTTTTGCTCCTTCATCACTGATTTTGTTGCATTGGATGATCAGCGTGGTGAGTGTCTATGTAAAATAATGAGGGAATAATAAGATGAAATGGTGTAGGTAATGTTACATTGTTTTGTTGTAATAGAATAGCCAGATGTTCTGCTCATTGATCACCAATTGTGCGTTGGAGGACTAGTGTGGTTTGTGTCTGTATGAAATAATACGTGAATGATACGATGATATGGTTCGCGAAATGTTACTGTGTTACGTCGTGCAACATCGATCAGATGCCATATTGCTGTTGCATCGGCTGCATTGTTTCGGAATTTGATTGTGATCGGTGTCTGTATAAGATAATAAGTGAATGAAAAGATTGGATGATAGAAGTACTGTTACATTGGTTTGTTGTAGAGCATTAGCCATGTATAGTGCTGGAGAATGTCCGAGTTAGCTGCTTGAAAGGACCGCTGTGGTTGTGTCTATATATAACGTTAAGGAAGTTAAATAGATTGACTGATTAAGGAATGAGTCTCTTGATTGCATATTTAGAAGCTAGCAGCGATTTGATGGTCAGATATACACACTCTCAGGCTGTAGTCGTTCTCTTGGTTTCTTTGTGCTGTATCATACTTTACATAGAATTTATTGAGGTGTAGATATAAGATATGAGAATTTATTTGATTTTGATCTGTATACCATGCTCAAATAAAAGTATCACGGCATGTCTGTAGTAAACAATCAACTTTATGAGTGAGAGTGATGGTGCTATGCTCAGTTCATCTCATCCGTAAATAACCACAATCCGGCCCGCAGTCTCCAGATGAGCACATCTGTGTACAACGCTCTATGATATACGAAGTTTATCTTATAGCTATAGGAGCATAGCTTGTGTTTTAAAAGTGAGAATAGAGTATCTTGTCCTTTTCTACTCCTAGGAGAAAGATAGACACATACGCATGGACCCAGAGCAAGGATGCTTGCATTTTTCCGTAAATTCGATTCTCGAAGAGAACATAACATAAAAAACTACGAAATACTCTGTGTGTGTATTGCTAAACATGTGCATGGATTTATAGGTGCAGATCTCCCCTGTTGTAATACCCATCCTCACATTCATCC